AAAAGGAAGGAATCATAAAAAGTGAGGAGATAGGAGCGAAAAGAGCGACCCAAAAAAAAAGGAAATAAATGGGAATGGAAAAGGAAAAGCCTGGGTGCGGCTATTGATTTTTCCTTCTACTGATGAGCTGGAACTTTTTTGGATTTGGTGGGGAACCTAGCCAGCCAGCTCCCAGGCAACACAATTGTTGCCGATTACAACGATGATGATGATGATGATGATAATGATGATGATGAGGATGATGTTGCGGTGGCCAAGGATAACGCTCCACTGCGTTTTGTCGCGTTGGCAGAAATTCCCTTTACTCGTTCGCCCAAAAATTTGTGCCAGTTGTGAACACGAAAAAATCATTAAAGACGCAAAAAATGGGTGTAAATAAATCTCCGACCAGGCAGTTGATAAAGTGGCGGGAAAAAAAGGCACAAAATTATCCGCAAACGAAGGCAAATTGGCTTGTGTCCGGATCCGTTTCCGTTAAAGGTGGAAAAAATGATAAAGCCCGTGGGAGCCGAAAACACGGCGACAGGAATTAAGCAAAAGTCGCGTTCCCAGGACTCAAATGACAGCACTGAGCTTGATAAATGTTCAGGGGTTTTCCCGCATTTTCCCGCTGCACTGCACTGCACTGCAGCTGCCAATTAAGTGCCAAATTATGCCAGGGACGGTGGCAGCCAGCACTGGCAGTGGCAGTGTCAGTGGCAACGGCGATGGACAAAAGGATGCAACAGTAGAGTGTTGACAACAAAAGGATGTTGTTCGTCGTGGCTCTGAAGAGTTGCTCGGCAAGACACACATAATAGAAATGAACAAAATCCAAGAACCATCCAGAAAGCAAGGCCACGACACAATTCCCTTTGTTGCGAGTGAAAGTTTTGCAACTCTTGAGATCCTGGGTCCTTGTTGTTTTCGTTTTTGGCCAAAAAACTTTTTCAATTTGCTGCAAACGAAATGGACTTGCCATGATTCTTGTTGCTCATTTGTTGCGTTTAAAAAGCAATTATTTGCCATGAAGAGCTCAGCAGCATAATCCAAATAGAGGGGGGGATGTACTTGTTTTCGGGGCCGTTTGCAGATACAAGAACCCTTTTCGCCTTCTCATTGGATTATTCGCTGTGCTGCAATCTAAATGTAAATGGGCAATTGGAAAATAATAACACGGTTGTACGGAGAGAGAGAGAGTCCTGAGAAAATGGAAAATGATATCCTAGCCAGCTTAGAGCTTGTCCATCCTAGCTATCTCTCTATAAATGTATGTATCTGTATCTGTATCTGGTTGGGGGGGAAAATGCTATACAGAAAGGTGGAAAAGTAGTTGGGAGGAAAGATGGGGCAAAAAACAAAAGCGTAACGAAACGAATTTTCAATTTCGTTGTCTAAATAAAGCCGTAAGTTATACTCCAGCTGGAAAATTGAGTTTGCTGAGTCGGCTTTCCACCGTAGGATACCGTCCTACAACCCCTACATTCTCTGGAGGCCAAAGTTGCAAGTGCATGTAAATAAATTAGGATTCCCCATTCCTGCCGAGCACAGATTCCTTCAAGCAATTATTGAGCAATGCCATGCCAATGCTGGAAAAACAAAGCTGAGAACACAGGCCGAGGCTATCAATTTTCCTGGCAACTGGGAACTGTGGCTTCCCTTCGTCTCTATGCCACTTTTGGCCCCTTTTGTTTTGTTGGGAAACTTTGGCCATTTCCTGCAGAAATAGCCATGCAAATGCTTAGCAGGCCAAGCTGAAAATGTAACATTCACAATCCGAAATTTGTGCTAAAGTAGGTGGTGCTGGTGGGGAGGGCCGAAAGCGGGCCAATAGGGTCGGAACTGTTACGTACATCTGCAGGCCAAAGTGGGGAAATGTCGGCCAAAGTGAAAACCCCAAACAGTAAAAACTTGCTCTGGACGAGGATTTTTCGCCAAATGTTTCTCTTCCGGCCGCCTGGCAACTCGGTCAACTCAAGTCACGCACTTTGCGAACATTGTCAAATCGACAATTTACTCGTTAGGCGAACTTTTGCCACAAACTTTGCTTCTGAGATGTCCTGCAAATTGAAAGCTCCTTGTATTTAGTTTCTAAATTTATTTACAAAATAGTGCCGTGCCAGGATTTGGCAGGGATTTGTCCCAAGGACGACATGTGGGTGGTCTTAAGTCTGTTTTATGACGGCACTGCTGCAGCACATTCGAAATGGAATTCCAGGCATTAATTATGCTTACAGGGAGATGGGATTTTGGAGAAAAGTTTCCTCCTCATGGCCATGTCAGGCTCGGATGGCTGTGATGTTTGGCGAAAAGTCGAGAAAATGCACTTGGCTGTTGTTTATGCATGGAACGTGCCATGCAACCATACTCCCAACTCTCTTATTGTTTTATTTTCGCTATATCCCTGCCTTTCCTCCATTTTCTACTTATAGTTGACTGACACAATTTTCCCTCATTACGGAGAAGCCCCAAAGGTTGCTCCTTGGCCCGGCTCCGCACAACTTCTTTTGTCTTTCCAGTCTCCCAGTTTTGTTTGCCAAGTTTCCAGCTATCTCCCCCCTGGTGAGATAGTTACGGTGCGTCTTCGGAGTCTTTGAACTTGGCAGGATAAGTTTTTTTAAACGCTTTATTGAAACAATTTCCGTTTTATGGAAATTCTCGCCATTTTGCAGAAATATTTCATTTTCGCTGTCATATATCAAAATGGTGTCAAGCATACGCCATGTTGGCCAGCCAAGGAAGCTACCCCTGCTGGAGCTACCCAGTAAATGCAAATTTAATGCTGCATGCAGTCAGCAAAAGCATCACCATCAGCATCAGCTTAAGCATCCCATTCCGTTTTCGGTGCTGCTCCTCCTGATGGTGGCAGCAGGTGGCCACGATGAAATGACATCATTTAAATTCATGCATGACCCACATTGCACCTCTGAGTGGCGGCGAAGCATATGCTTCCTGGCTTCGGCCAGAGCCAGAGCCTGGGCCACCCAACCAGTGCCAGGTGGGGCTCCTTCTTAGCATTTGCCTTGTGTTTTATTAACAAAGCAATTTATTGCATAAATTCACACTGCACTTTGGATGGTTGGCCGCACTTGCCGCAGGATCTATCGATCGCAGGGGGGGTGGTGTCCCCTGGGCAGGAAAACTTTTCCCGTAAACGTTTAATCGAGGCCAGTGGTGTGCTTTTTCGCATGAAACTGCAGTTTTTATGGGCATGCTTGGCTGGGTTCATTAAAGACCCAAAAAAGTATGCAACAAATGCTGGAAGGCACGCTCGTGCCAAGTCATGTGAGAGGCGGCCACTCGCCACTTCTACTTACAGCCATGCCCCATTTTGCTGACTGCTAATTGCTGCATAAATCAAGCGGCAAAACAGCGACCCACCAGAGGCACCACCAACGACTACGACGAGGACGACGGCGGCGCTTTAAATAAACTCGGCCAGAACGAAAGTGTTGCACAAGCGGCACAAGCAGTTTTTTTTCCGCTTTTTTCACTTGCCCCATGCTTTATGGTTCTTTGGCCATTTCCCTCTCCAAAGCCCCCACCACCCCCCGCGCTGGTGGGATATTTATGAACGCTTTTGGTCAAGCGTTTGCTTGCCAACTGTCCTGGCCAGGATGATATATGCTGCGGTGTGGGTTTGCTTTCGGTGCGCAACACTGCGTATACGCAATACACAAATATTTTAATTAAATTTCAAACGGAACGAAATATGAAACGAAAGCAAACAGAAGAGCAGAGAAGAGCAGGAATACGCCGAAAAATGAAAACGTATTTGCCAGGATAATGGAGGACTCACTTATTTGTGGGGATTTTATTTTGGAAGGTAACCTTAAAAAGGTAAACTTGAATCTTAAAATGGAAAATAAACCTTAAAATCTGAAAATTATTAAAATATATTATCTTGAAAGCCTTTCTCTTCGTAGCCATATACTTTTTCCACCCACTGTAGTCTCTTTTCGTTTAAATCCCCATGTGGAAAAGAAATTGGGCCTTGGGGCTTGTGTGCTTTCAATTTTTGGGTTCTGGCATGTTTGTTAATCCACCGAGCGAATGAAATAGTAACAAGAGCTTCCAGCTCTGTTTGCCAAATTTAATTTATTCTCCAACAACAGTGAGTTACAATTATTCTTCCACAGCACTCACTCAATTGGTACTCGTCCTCATTAGTCACGGCCGTTGTCAGTCTTGTCTATATTTTGATGTGTACTTATGGACATTATAGTGATATCGGGACGGGTGTCAATGCTGGGGGGTCAACAAGTGTCGCCCTGGCTGGCCAAGTGCCAGGACTTGGCTCCAAAAACACGACTTTTATAGGACATTTCATAACGCGTGAAGAAATTCAATTAAGTTGCTGGATTGGGAGTGGAAATGGGACTGGGAGATGGAGATCTCCGTCCGTGTTTCTATTTCGGCCAGTGTTTTTATGGCCCCAACAAAGGGCCAACGAAATTAAAGTCAATAAACAAGGCCTGGCGTCTGCGGCTGGGAATTGTCTCTGTCATTCTGTTGTTGGCCCACGGCTGTCTCTGGCCAATTGGTTTTTGTCTGGTTCAGTTCGTTTTGGTCTGGTCACAGTTGTTGTTCTGGCACTCTCGGTCCTCTGTCCTGTGTCCTCTGTCCTCTGTCGATGCGATGTGTGCGGTTTCTGTTCTCGTTTTGGTGCGAATAAACCGCAAAAACCCGTCATAGTTGTCCCTCAGTCAGACACGAATGTGGGTGGGACATGACCCAGGAGACCGAAGCCCTCTCCGCCCATTTCCCACCCCCTGAGATGTGAATGTGGAACAACTCAAGGACATACGGGCCGTGCATAATTTTCATTGGCAAATACACAGATGCCATAGTCGTTGGGCCTTATTAGGTTGAAGGGCCTTTTGATGTGAAAAAAATAGAAGAGAAATTTGAATTTGAAAAGAAATTGTTCTTGGAAAGTAATATATTTAAAAGAGGCTTGGCTAGATGGCCTGGAATTTAATCGAAATAAGAGTATAAACATTTCTATTGTCCTATTGCAGATTCACGACGATCTAGAGAAAGATCCGGACTACTCTGGCTCCGGCTTTGGACCCGATGACGAGGACGCCGAGCCCGACCACCATTCGCACGGTTCGCACAACTCGCAGCACTCGCAGAACGGAGCCGGCGGCGGTGCCAGCATAAACAGTAAGCATAACTCGAACGACTTCAGCAAGAACGGCAAGAATAGCAACAGCGACCTCATCTCGAGTAGATACAACAATAATAATAATCACAATCAGATCGACAACAGCCAGAATATCAATCTCAATAATAATAATAATAATAACCATCAAACGAATAGTGGCACAATCATTGGTAGTAGCACCACAGCGAACAATAACCACAATATCAACATCAACAGCCAGAACGGCATCATCAGTGGTAGTGAGATCGGTGGTCATAGCACTGGCATTAATTCAATCGGTAAAGATCAAGCTAGTACTGTTACATCTTCAACTCCAGCTACTACTCTATTCACTCTCAAATCCAAACACAAGATCCCAAAAACAGTAACAGCTACAGTTTCAGATACAGATACAGTTACAGATACAGATACAGGCACAGTTACAGATACAGATACAGATATAGTTAGGTTAGAAGCTAATTTAGTTAATAGTCAATCATACACAACAACAACAACAACAAACACACCAACATCAATCGCATCTCTATATCCTTCAGCAGCTCATACACCAACAGACACCTCATCCACAATCTCGACACCAACGACTGCGAATTGGAACACAACCACCACAACAACGACCACCACAGCAACGCCAACCACCACCAGTGCATCATCTCCAACAACAACAACAGCAGCAACCAACAACAACAATGGGCCAACCAACTCCATTTCTGGCCAGAGAGAGAACGATACCGATATCTTTCGTCAACCCGAAATGCCCATTTTCGATCCCCATGTGGACACCGAGGGCAGTGGTGATAGCCATGATGACGACGATGACGACGGCGACTTTGATGCTGACAACGACAACGACAACGACGACGATGGCGATGGCGGCGATGACGAATACGATTATGCGGACCGCAACATCGATGCTCCTGGCACGAGGACTGACGACGAAGTGAAGCCAGAGGACGAGATTCCCACGAACAACCACGACTTCACAGACTTTGACAAGGATACCATCGACCTGGACGAGGATATCAAGAAGGAGGACGTGGTCCCGGATGTTGGTGGTGCTGCTGGTGGTGCTGTTGATGGCGTTTCCACCAGAACCGACTTTGGTCCTGTCATTGGCCGTGGCAACGATGGAGGTTCGAACCCAGAGCGCGAACGTCAGTGGTTTTTATTTTTCAACTTTTACTTTTCTACTTTTCTTACTTTGTATCATCTTGTTATCCAAATCCGTACTTTTATTTATTATTTGTTGCTTTTATTTGTTTGTCTTATCACATTTATTACCATATCCTGTGTTGTCCTTTCTGCACCGTCCTTTGTGTTTTTGGAGAGCAACTGCACCTAAAACCCCATTGCTTACCAGCAGTGCAGCTCTTGGCTTTACTTGTACATGGCCTGGAACACTGTGCCTTGGCTTTTGTTTAAACTACATGAATTAGTATTATTGCTATTTATTTCTGGTATACGTATTTGCTTTTATACTTTAGCGATTTAATTTGTGGTCTATTTGCTTTGCTTCTGTTATGTAGCTCCTAACACGTGCACTTTCAATTCCAAGTATTTCTTAGTTAAATTAAGTTGTAAGTTCTGGTTTTCGGTTTCTATTATTTTGTGTGGCGTGCTCCGAACAGTCTACGGTCAACGCAGCGGGTGTCCCGAAAAACTTACTCCTCGGACAGTGTCCCAATACCACATTATTACCAAAAAAAACATTCATTTCGGCCCTTGTCCAATTCATTGAATCATTCCCCTGTCGGTTTCTGTCGTTTATTCGATTGGAAGCCACCCGCAGAGCAGCAAACTTTAGTCTACTTTAAGCTAGCGCTAGTCTAGAAGTAAGTCGAGTATTTTAAGGATAGTTTAAAAGCTTTTAACGTGACAAATGGCAAGCAAACAGGACAAACAACGCCGGACCAGGGCCAGACAAAGACAATGGCAGTGACACAGCCAAAGCCAACTGCAAAGGCAAGCCAAACAATCGATTAAGCTGCAAACAGGAGGAGCACTCCATCAGGGATTCGAGGGTGCAAGCGGATTTACCAAAGTGAAGCCAGGGCGGAGGCGGGGGCGGACTAGACATTTTGCAATTCCTTGCCCTAGGCATAAAGTTCCATTAACAGTGTTGAATGCCCCGCCTCCTCCCATAGTACTCCTCCATGGGTGGAATGAAAATCGCCTGGAAAATCGCACTAAGCCGCGCAGTGATTTTCTGTGCTTTGCGTTTCACTTGCCGTACTTCGCCAGGCACTTCAAATGAAAAATCACCCAGAGTCCTGGCAGTGGCACAAGGCACGGCTCCTCCAGTTACACTCTCCGCATCCTGTCCAGCCTTTTGGTGTTCGAAGCCTCCGCGTAACTGTAGCCGTTTACTTGAGGCATTGTTGCTCCTGCAATGACTTTGTGAGAAGGACACTGGACAAAATACTATAGGGCTTCTATTCTAAAACTAATTTATGGAGATAGTATTTAAAAAAGGCTATTTTTCAGAGGGTATATATCAACTAAAGTTTACTTTTTCTTACAATTTAATATTTCTTCTCTTAAAAAGCTTAGTTTATGGCCAAAACTGAGTCTTCAGTGCAGTGTCAGGCTGTGAAACATTCGGCCTAATGGCATCGGCATCGTGGGTGTGGTGGTTCTTGTGGGCTTATGGCTTTGATGTTTGCTTTGCAATTGCCATCGCCAGCCACCAACCGACATGTCTGAGCCAAAAACACAAACATAATCAATATGGCTGGCTGACACACACTGTGAAGGCAATAATTTTGCCATAATTGCGCGCAGTTGACCTCTCCGAGTCACTGGTAACCCAGTCCCTTGCGAAATCCTTCGTGTGAGTGCAAAGTGCATTCTGCCTTCAGATCCAGATACAAACACTACCTTTTTGGCAAAGGAGGAGAGGGGGGACCTGGTAGCCTTATTGGCTCAGGACAAACAGAAGGCAGACAATCAGTTCGATGGCAAGACATTGAAGCAATCTGGAAGAGAAATCCATTTGCTTTTGGAAATCGCATTGAAGAACAAATATTTATAGCTCCATGTGCCAGTCAAAGCTCCAAAGCACTCCAGCTGCTATTGAGAAAACGTCCGTATGGGAGTGATTTGCCCAGGACCTATGTACGTCCTGCACACACATATAAAATCAATTTAAGGCGGTTTATCCGCGAGGGCCTCTTCGTGGAGGGCTCTCGTGGGCATTACCTAATTAATATGCCGCCCTGCTAGGAAGGGCGTGTGTGAGTTGGTGCTTCGACGCAAAGAAGTACGAGTACAAGGAGCTAAACAAGCAATTTGTTTGTCTTAAGCCCCTGCCTGGGGTGGGGAATGTGTATAACAAGGATCCAGGCGGGCAAACAATGGCTCAGCAAAGAATAAGGAGCCCAAGCACACACATATTGAGGGGAGTCCATAGCGGAGAAAGCCAAAGAACAAATGTCAATTAAATATAATTTAAATTCGCGCTGTTTGACAGCCAATTGGCATTAAATTTTGCTCTTTTCCGCTGCTGTCACTCGACTGTCAGATTCAGGGAACGAAAATAATTGCATACTCAGAGCAGCGAGTTCTAGACTCGGCAGTAGGGAAACTTTTTTCATTTCGGTTGACAACTTTTCTCCGGGGGCTGCTCATTAGCGTGAAATTAGCCCATTCCTCGTATATGTCAGAGGGCGTGGCAGTATTTCACATATAGTGTATATCCTTAAAAGTAATGTAGTTAGTTATAAGCCCCAAAGTTTAGTGTAAGTTTCCCCCTTTGTAGTCATCGCAGCTCGACTAACATTAAGCCTTGTAAATATTGCATAACAGCTCATTAACACACCCAACACACACTCTCACACAACGTATACCCTCCCCACACACACTGGCTCACTTAAATCAATATTGACACTCGAATCAATTTAATTGAATGCCTCCTACAAACACAAAACAACAAAACATAAAACAAAACAACAATCTCTGTCTCTCACTCTCTGCGTTTTGTTTGATTTTGCTTGCACGTCATGGGCATAAATGGATTTCCCCACCATCGCTATCTCATTCTCACCGAACTGTTGCCCTCTCTTTCTCCTGAACAGCCGGCGCAGGTGGCAACAGCAACGTCCACGCCTTGGACCCCAACACGAACGTGAACAGCCAGCCCTCCGACACAAAGAGCACCGATCACAGGGGCAACGGCAACGAGGTTGTCATCATGAGCGAGGACGATCGCACGTCGAGCTTCTTCTCGCAGCCCGGCATTCTGGCTGGTAAGTGCTTACAAGGATACTAGCATAGTCATAAGGATAAGCACTTACATTTTTATGAGAAAGACGTCATTAGAAAGTAGTTTTCTTCCTTCTCAAATGTGTAGTTTTCAAAAACATCACTCATACGCAGCGTTGTCACTTCTGGGTTTTCTTAATATTTTGGTCATTTTGTAAAGATATTCCAAAATGTTCAGAATCAATGTCAATCAGTTGAAATAGAATCAATGTTTTATAAAATCTTAAATGGCTTACCTTTTCAAATGGTTTTGAAGCACATCACTCATACGCAGTGTTGACTTTCCTTCCGTGTGAGTTTTTGTGCTTTTGCTAAATAAAATTCAAAAGCAGTTGATGATAAAAACAAAATCATTAAGCAGGCATTACTTGTTTTTAAATTAAAGAACACTTAAAGAAAAACAATAATAAGAAATCTTAAGAAATCAGTCCAACGTTGCGTATGAGTGATTTTTAACATAATGAGTCCAATTTTAATGGTTTTTAAACTAAATAATTGCATTTTCTCGTAACAGCTGTCATTGGCGGAGCCGTCGTTGGACTGCTCTGCGCCATACTGGTGGTAATGTTCATCGTCTACCGCATGCGGAAAAAGGACGAGGGATCCTATGCCCTGGATGAACCGAAACGCTCTCCGGCCAACAATTCGTATGCGAAAAATGCGAACAATCGCGAGTTTTACGCCTGAGATAATGGCACGTCGCGCAGGTATTAAGTTGGCCACGACTGCAGGAGAAAATCAAAGGGATAGACTCCGGGTCTGGGTGTGGTGAGGCGATGCGGAATGGAGCGGAGGCGATGGAGTCGGGGGAGCTCAACTGGATACACTGTGCGGAGTGGTAGTGCAATGCCATCAGCAACCCACTAAACCATGGATAACTCATCGGCAGCAGAAACAACAGCAGCTAGAACTAACACAACAAAAATTGAAAATCTTTCAAACATTTTCAAATCATACAATTTTTCGTGAGGGGTAAAAATACTAACTAATAACAACCAACCAACCAACCAATTTGGAGATATAATAACGAAGAAAATGAAAAACTTACCTGTAAGTTAAAAAAAAGCATACACATCGTCAGACAAAACGATTCTCTGCGTGTGTGGATGTGTGTATGCAAATTTTCTAATTAAGTAAGTTTTAAGCAACAACAAACAAAAAAAAACAAAAAACGAAAAACAAAATGGAAAAAACAAACAAAAATATCAAGTATAATTGCAATGAAATCATGCGAAATTTAATATATAAATAATATATTATATATATATAAATATATAAATAGTGAAACCAATATAAGGGCGGGCAAAATTAAGCGAATTAATTATGAATTACGAGTATGTAGAGCAAAGGAGCAGGAAGAGACGAAGGAAGGAACTTGAATAATACCTATTATAATAATAATAATAATAATAATAATACACACACACGCGCATTCAACTACATAGATGTAAAGGCCACTTTCGTGCATATTGAATATATAAATGTATTGATTATATATGTTAGCTGAATAACGAAAGCGAATTGGATACATCACGGTTATCTCTCTCAAATCTCGATAGACCCCTCTTCGAAGCCCCATAACTGATTATTTCCATAACCAATTCTCACCATAGAACAGCAACAAACAAGTCCATTGAAAATAAAAATAAATATAATTACGAATTACGAATTGTGCGGCACATAACAAACGGAAATCGATGCATAAATGTTTTTAAGTTAATACATAAGCAAACTATGTAATTATTAGTGTAATTCCTAAAACGATGAAGAAAAAAACAAAACGAAAAAGCGACACTCTGAACCTTCCTGGCAAAACCAAAAACGAAAACAAAAAAAATTAAGAAACTTAAATGAGGACAACAATTTCTACTTTTTTCTAGAAAACATACAAACAATGAAACAAAAACACAAAATCTTTGAATATTTATTGAATGAAATTAAAGGAAAATGGTATAGGAAATGGAAAATGAAAATGAAAATCGTTATAAAAGCAATTGTACATTAATTTTGGGTTTCCCATTGGGTTTTTCGAGTTCAACGAGATATCCTTCGCTTGACTCAACTGCTTCTTCCATGGCTAAGAATCAAAATCGGATTAAACGCATTGATTATTGTGCATTTATTTAGTTTTTACGTTCGCTGTCAATGACAATTGTTTAGTTTTGCAAGCAAAATACAAAATGCGAAGTACGAACAACATCGATAACAACCGACAACAGCCACAGATCATCCACAAAAACATGCAATAGCGAAAATTTATTGTTAAGTTTACAAGGCAAAAAAAGCAACAACAACAACCACAAAAAACAATTAACATGACAGCAGTCGAGCAATATAATGTTACTCCTCCTCCAGTCCCCTTAACACACACACAACGTACACTCCAACCTCTTAATCAACAAATTAGCTGCAATACTTGTTTAATTGTTAGTCAACCAATATTCTCTCCAACTCTCATGCCATATTTTCATTGCGAAAACAAAAAGTTATGAAAAGAAAAACAAAAATCGAAAACTAATATATATCATATAAGTATATAATTAGCGACATAAATCAATTGTGTGTGTAATTGTGTATAATGCATAAATAATAAATTAAAAATACTCCTACTTTGAGAAGCAAAAAGGCAAATTTCCAACAGCACCACCCTATCCTCTTTCCTATTGAAACTGAAACTGAAACTTACAAAACACATACCACACACACAAAAAACGAGCAAAAATTTAAACAAAAAACCACAGAGAGCCAGAACAGCAACAAGAACTTAACATTTTTCTGACTACAACTTTTTCTACACTGTAAAAAACGCAACCGCATCTTTTTTGATATGTATGGTACACGTACTATGTTTGTTCCACTCTCGACCCATAGTACGTTTTTGTCAGATTTTACACATCAAGTTTTTTTGCTCTTTTGTAAGCGTTTAGTTTGTTAGTTTTTTAAAATGCGCTGAATGTACTGAGAAATTGGTTTTGATTTGCTAAATAAAACTGGTATGAAACTAATTTAAAACAAAGTATGGATGGTATTTTTATTGTCTGTTTTACAAGTTGGCTTTCATGAGGGGCTTCAGGTACGTTTCAAAGGACCTCTGCACGGGTTTCTGGTTCATGGTACTCCTCTTGGCCGAATCGAAGAGCCTGGGATAGATATTCCCGTCGTAACTGCCCAGCACCGAGTTAAGGACCCGATCGTGGAAACCAAAACCATCGCAAATGGCCACTGCATTGGGGCGGAGCTTCTCCAGAGACACCTCCAGGCGTGTCTGCAGGGATCTCAGATCGGCATCAGTGAGGTTAATAAACTGGTATCAAAGTATAAATGGTTAAAAAATTAAGGTTAAATTATTTATGGTTGCAAGTACTCACTCTCAAAATATCATTTAGGTTGTTGAGCAGAGTCTGGACCAGGAAGAGTTCTAGGACATTTTCCAAAACCTGGTTAAGGGCCGGAGAACGCTTTTGGGCCTTGGGACCTGTGATTTGATTCAGGAAGGTCTGGCACACGAATTGACGACCATGGAGCTAAAATGGGAATATTATAAAATATTACGTTTAAAGGAGAACTTATGGAAAGCTACCTCAGCAGCACGAGCCAGCTCAATGCCAGTATTATTAGCCGCCACTCCCTGGGATTGTCCACTAGCCATACGAGATGCCAGATTCTCGAAAGCAATGCGAGTTTTCCTAAAAATAATTTAAATAAAATATTTAAAAGACAAACCACATCTCAAACGAAACTTACTGCGCCGCCGTGAACTGCAAAGCCTTAATGATGCACTGCCAGGAGTTGTCCCACTTGGGGAACTCCCTCAACGCCATGGAGCTAGCAAAGTAGCTGTATGAGGAAGACACTGGCTTCTTCTCCAAGAAGGCTGCCCAGGCCTTGACCAGTGCACGACCAATCTGCAGAAGGAGTACTGTGTTCTCGCCTTCATAGGTGTAGGCAGCCACAGCATTTCCGTAAATATTGCTCATGTTGGCGGCAGTCAGATAGCCATGACCTCCAGTGGAGAGACGCAGCTTTTCAATGCCAGCACATCCATCGGTGGTACAAAGGACCTTCAGGGCGCAGGAGAGGATATGCATGTCCGGCAGGCGATCGAATTTGCCATTGTTGGCCTCCTGGACAGTCTGGGCGTACATTTCCCACATGTACTCGGCAGCCAGGTGATACGCCATGCCATTGGCAATCTCGGGGAAGAGCTTCAGGCGCTGGGTGACATGGTCGATGATCTGGGGCTCTGGTTGGCTAAAGTGGCGAAGGAGTTGGTCATAATAAGAAACCATCCCAGGTTCAAATACTCACTTTTCTTCAATGGGACTTTGCCGTCTTACGGCCGAATACCTGGTGGCAATTGTGGCCGCCTCCAGGAGCAGTGTAGAGTTCAGGTTGACAATCAGACAACGGGTATAGACCATGGTCAGGTAGTTAACCCTCGATACCGGGCTCGCCTTGAAGGTGCCATTTCTCTCGACTTTGGCAAACTTCATCAGCATATTAGAGCGGGGAATTCGAACATTTTTGAGGCCCAGGAAGCCTTGGTTCACAGCCACCATGCCCAGCTTCTTGCCAATCTCGCCAATGTCCACGCCAGGCAGAGGCATGTGCGTCTCGGAATCTCTCAGGGGAACAATGAACATCTGAATGCCATAATGAACATTGGCAATGTACAATTGAGCCACAACCATGGCGTGGTTGGCTGTGTGACCCACTAAACCAGCAAGAAATAAGGTTAATTAGTCCATCTTAACCATAAATATATTAAGATCCAACTTACAGCCTCCTGGCCACCACTTGTAGGCCTCCAGATTGGGTGTGTTTAGCACAAACTCATCGGATTTGGGGTCAAAGTCCGCACGAGTGGCTATACCTCTCACATTGGTTCCATGGGCCAGCTCCGTTTGAGCATAGGTACCAATAATATTACAGTTCTCCGCCGCCTTGCCCCATTTCTTCACCTGTTCAGGTGTGCCCTGACCCTTGATCACGTCCACAAACATGGTGATGTGGGTGGCCAGCGGGTGGTTGGCTGGGAAGAGGCCATGGCTCTGGACATTAAACAGCAAGCCCCTGAAGAAAACCACGATAAGATATTGGGGGAACCACTAGCCACCTGGTTTACTTACGGCCAGATATCATTGCCGCCAGGATTGATCTTGTTCTGGAGAGCCTTCAGCTTGGCAGCAGCCTCGGCCACCTTCTTCACACTGGAGTTGTAGACATCTTCGTGGGACATGTACTCATGATTGAGACCATAGCCATCCTCCAAGTCGCTGAATATGGCCTTTTCTGAATAAGAAATAGTAAATAAGACAATGATTGAACTTTGAACTTTCGTCACTGAAAGTTTTCCATCAAACTCATTAGTAGTCTTCGTGGCCAATAAAGTCTTGTCGGCCCGTCAACACCTGCTGATGGTGGTACCAGATAGGGAATTTGGACTGTAGCCGGCCCGGTTATCACCTGGGCGTGGATGAGCCCCTTTGCCCTGATAAGAACTTGTCTCTCGTTGCAATTGGCTTATCAACTAAAAATGCCTCGACATGGGTATCATTAGCAATCATTAGTGATATAGCAACAAAGCTAATACCCGATACAACAATGTATAAATATTTTTGGACTTTGCGGCCATTAGATGAACTGTTTGGACCTAGATTTTTTTAGGTAGGGCTGACAGATCCCACAGTCTTTGTTGTTGTTTTTAATTATTCTAAGAGACTTACCAATCTCCCGCTTGGTCTTGAGCTTGTCTTGACCTCCCTGCCACCAGGCTGCGAACTCTTCAACATTGAACTCGGCTCCAGTGCGCTCTTTCTGCAGATCGGGATTCACAGTGTTTGGTATAAGGTTCTTAATGTCCGACATTGTAACTTTTATGCCAAAATATTTACAAATTATTTACAAAATATTTAAGGTTGTGGAGCTGCTCCAACCATCAGCTGTCGGCCCAACGCGAATACAGAGCGAAACACCATTTTTGCGGGAGAAGGAAAGCTTTGGGGGGACCAAAGGCCACACAAGAGCTTTTTTTTCAAGATCGCAAGCTAACGTTAAGAGAAACTAACTAACAAAAGAGTGGCCTGTGGTGATAACAACTTATTTAAGAGTATTTTTGAGAAATAAACAAAAAAGGAAAGAGTTTTGGTTAAAATAATAATTTAAGAGTATTATTAGAAACATGAAAAGAGTATAAATTAGTCAACAAACATTACTTATGAATAAAAATATAAGCTTCCTACATATTAGACTTCATGAAGGGCTTGAGGATCTCTTGGAAGGACTTTGGCACTGGCTTTTGGTTCATGGGGTTCTTGAGGGCAGCATCGAAGATCCTTTCATAGGCATTGCCGTCATATGACCCCAGGGTGGAGTTCAGCTGGAGGTCACTGAAGTCGAAGCCATCCACAATAGCCACTGCATCGGGACGTAACTTGGTCAGGACGGCCTCCAAGCGCTCCTGCAAGCTGGTAAGATCCTTGTCCGTCAGGTTGATGAACTGGAAATAAATAATTTTTATCAGTCACATGATTCATAGAATTATAGAGCAGATAGTAAATAGTAGAATGGACAGAAAAACCGACAGATAGATAAAACATATCTATATCTTTTAGTGACTGTCAACAAATATGGAAATATTTCACGTAATTTATGCTCCTAACTATCTAATATCTAATCAATCCAAATAAAACCTACTCTCAGCAAATTACTCAATTGATTGAGTGTCTCCTTGACCAAGTAGAGCTCCAGGAGATTCTCCAGCACCCTGTTTAGCTCCGGTGATCGGTTCTTGGCGTTGGGACCCGTCACTTCAGTCGTAAACGAAGAGAAGACATAGGCACGACCATGGAGCTACGAAAGAAAAAAGATAAAAAATGGCTATATTTTTTACAGATCAAAGTCCAATTGTTTTAAAAAAGCTACCTCTGCTGCATAGGTGAACTCAATGCCTGTTTGATTAGCCGCGTTGCCTTCGGACTCTCCTTGGGAAATGCGCGTGGACAGGCTATTGAAGGCCAAGCGCGTTTTGCTGTAAGAATTTTAATTAAAAGTAGATATAATTAAAAATTTAAACAAATTTAAAAACAGCTTTACTTACTTGGCAGCTGCGTACTTCATAGCCTTGACCATGTTCTCCCAGGTGCCTGTCCAGGCACCAAACTCTGGATTCTGTTGCACTTCAGACAGGTAACTGACAGTGGGGGCCAAAGGAGCTCCACTCAGGGCCGAGTTCCAGGACTTCATCAGGAAGCGTCCAATCTGGAGCAGAAGCACCGTGTTCTCACCCTCGTAAGTGCAGGCTGCCGTGGCCAGGACATACAAGTTGCTCAAGTTGGACGAGATCAGGTAGCCATGACCACCGCAAGCCAGACGAAGGCGCTCTATTCCGGCCGTTGTGTCCGAAGAGCAAGTCACCTTCAGGGCGCAGGAGAGGGAATGGAGTTCTGGAAGCCGTTCGTATATTCCATTTCCTATGTCCTCGATGGTCACTTCGTACAGTTTCCACAAATAGTCGCTGGCCACACGATGAGCCAAGCTGGTGGCTATTTCGGGGAAGAGCTTCATCTGCTGGGTTACATGGTCCAGAATTTGAGGTTCACGGGCTCTGAAAAAAAGAAAAGTTATATAATGTGAAGTAAACTAACAGCCTTTCTGAAATTACTTGGGTTCGATGGGACTCTGGCGGCGCACAGCGGAGTACCGCGTGGCAATGGTGGCGGCTACTGCCAGCATCGAGGAGTTGTTGTAAGTGATCACACAGCGGGATCGAACCATGGCAAAGTAGGTGAGGACATTGGCAGGACTGCTGACATAGGAGCCATCGGGGTTAACCTGGGCGTGGCGCATCAGCATGCGGGTGCGGGGTATCCTTACGTCCTTCAAGCCAAGGAAGCCGTTGTTGATCCCAATGAAGCCCATCTTCTTGCCAATGTCGCCAATATGAACGCCGGGAAGTGGTTCGTGGGTCTCCTCATCGCGAACTTGCACGAAGAACATGTGGGGACCTTTGGACTGATTGTTGATATACAGCTGCGCCATCACCAGACAGTAATTGGAGGAGTGACCCACTATGAGACCAAATTTGTTACATAAGATGAAGTTGGGATCATGATTTCAACTTACAGCCGCCCGGCCAGAACTTGTAAGAGGATATCTTTGGAGTATTCAGGACAAACTCATCGGTTTTCGGGTCAAAATCAGCTCTTGTTTCCAGACCTCGCAGGTATGTGCCATGTCCCAGTTCGGTTTGGGCGTAAGTTCCACAAATCTCGAAATTTTTCATTCGCTTTCCAAAGTTTTCATACTGTTCCGGGGTGCACTGAGCCTCCAGGGCCTGGATGAGCATCACGTACATCACACCGAATGGATTTCCTGCCGGTGTGACGCCCCACGTCACCTTGTGGTCGTACAGATTTCTAAAAAAAAAACAAAAAAGGATAATGAGGATAATGTTTGGAAGAAGTAGTACTTACGGCCAGTAGTCCTCCCCTCCAGGATTGCGTTCCTCCTGCAGGCGGCGTAGCTTCTTGGCCGCCTCGAGAGAAGTCCTTACGGCAAAGTCGTTGATCTCCTCATGGGACAGGTTCTGGATCTGCAGAAACTCGTCCGCATTTATATCCTTTTGCAGGTAGTCACCTAACCACACAGAAAAAACCTTAAAATGTTACCAAACTGAGTGCAGTGGTTTCTTACGTAATTCCCGGTAAAACTTAAGGTCATCCTGGCCTCCTGCCCACCAGGCCGCGAACTCCTCGCTGCTGAAACTCGCTCCATCGCGCTCCTTTTGTATGTCAGGGTTCACCTCCTTAGGAATTACACTTGAAGCCATTATATCCTGGAATAGAGGTGTCCGAACTGCTCGCCAAGAAGTCCACTCGCCGACTGATGGCCAAGAGCCGGAAACCCCGAAATAAATATGAATTACCTGCCAATCTAGTGTTACCTCGTCCACCGTTTCGAGTGCAATCGAGCCTGTGTGCGTGAGATTAAAGTTTATTCACTTATGTCATCGATATCGAGCCGGTATATGTTATTAAAATAAGATCCATTCATAACCAAGTTTCGCTTTTATTACAGATTAGATTTAGGTGCTCTTAGGTGCAAGGGTAGCCCGGTGTATTGGTTTCTTGCAAAATAAGATAACCCACCTTATATAGTTTCGTGCGTAGGTTCTTGAGTACAAAAGCCTAGATCTTGGAGATTACAGGCTATAAAGCACGAGCTATTTAAAACGTGAGATAAATAATAACAAACAAGGCCATAATTTAATTTCCGTTTGGGAAGTGTTAGCAAAAGGGCGATCTTGTAATCTAAGATAGAATTTTGTTTATGTTATGTTTTTGAGACAATGCGTCATACTTCATTATTTTTCACTCTCCCTTTTAACTTTTAACCTTCATAGCTTAGACTGTCCTAAGTAGTCGGGGTACAATTTCTAGCGCTGTTACCCAGGGAGCTTTGGAAGTTGAAAGAACCACTATGTTTATTCATACACTTGTACATACAAGACTTAGATAATTATTATCAAAACAAAATAGAAAGAGTTATATAGTTTTCCTTTATGCTGTATATAAAGGAACCCTCTTTATTATAGCAACCATCTAAAAATAGTTAATTCATAAACTTTGAAGTAATCTTATCAACAATAACACTTATGGTCACGTTTCCCATATGTGATGTGCCTCTTTTCTTCGATAGTAACTAAGTACTTAGAAATCAATGACAATATTAAAGTCGACTTTTAGGGGAAATTTAATATAGTTATTCACATAACAATAGTTTAATATAAAAAAGTTAAAACAGCCAAGAAATGATTAAAACAATACATATAATCAGAAAAAGTAAAGACCTAAAGGACAAGCCACTAAATATTGGACTTCATGAAAGGCTTAAGGTGTTCATGGAATGATTTTGGGACCGATTTCTGGTTCATGGGGTTCCTCAGAGCAGCATCAAATATACGCTCATAGGCATTTCCATCGAATGCTCCTAGGGTGGAGTTCAGTTGCTGATCATTAAAGTCGAAGCCATCCACAATAGCCACAGCATCAGGACGCAACTTGGTCAACACCGCTTCCAAGCGATCTTGCAGGCTGGTGAGGTCTGAGTCAGTCAGGTTAATGAACTGTGGGATTGGAAATGTATGAAATCAGTGTTTAATAAAGTGTATCTATAATAAGTCTTACTCTCAGCAAATTGCTTAGTTGGCCCAGGGTCTCTTTCACCAAGTAAAGTTCCAAAAGATTCTCCAGAACTCGATTGAAGGCCGCTGATCGGTTCTTTGATTTTGGACCAGTAACCTCTGCGGTGAATGAGGAGAAAATAAAAGCGCGACCATGAAGCTGAAAGCGAGAAAGTAACGTGCTACATTTAGTGGTTCAAAGTCCAAACTATCTTCGAAAAACTACCTCCGCTGCCTGAGTGAGCTCTAGGCCCGTGTGATTAGCCGCAGTTCCCTCGCTCTCTCCTCTAAGCAGACGATTCGATAGGCTCTTGAAAGCCAAACGCGTCTTACTGCAACGAATTTCATAACATTATTTTCCTGGCTTCAACTCGATAGTAAGGAATACTTACTTTGCAGCTGCATACTCCATAGCCTTCACCATGTTTTCCCAGGTGCCTGTCCAGGTGCCGAACTCTGGATTCTTCTGAACCTCGGCCAGGTAACGGACAGTTGGGGCCAACGGAGCTCCACTCAGTGCCGAGTTCCAGGACTTCATCAGGAAGCGACCAATCTGTAGAAGCAGTACGGTGTTCTCGCCCTCGTATGTACAGGCTGCAGTGGCAAACACGTACAGGTTGCTCAGATTAGAGGAAGTCAGGTAGCCATGTCCGCCACAAGCCAGACGTAGGCGCTCAATGCCAGCCGTGGAGTCCATGGATGAGGTTACCTTCAAAGCACAGGACAAGCAATGAAGTTCCGGCAATCGTTCGTACTTTCCGTTCCCTATATCCACGAGTGTCTCTTCGTACAAGTTCCACAGATAGTCACTGGCCAGGCGATGGGCCAAGCTGGTGGCTATCTCAGGGAACAGCTTCATCTGCTGCGTTACGTGATCTATGATTTGGGGCTCCGGTTCCCTGAAAATCAACATTAATATTTATAGCGTAGATTTCTCCATCCCTAATCTTACTTGGGATTAATCGGACTTTGTCGGCGCACTGCAGAGTAACGCACTGCTATGGTAGAAGCCGCTGACAAGATCAAGGCACTGTTCCGCCCAATAAGACATCGCGTTCGCACCATGGCGAAGTATGTGAGGACATTGGTGGGACTGCTCACATAAGTTCCATCGGCGTTGACCTTGGCATGTCGCATCAGCATGCGAGTTCGGGGAATCCTCACGTCCTTTAGTCCCAGAAAGCCATTGTTTACTCCAATGAACCCCATCTTCTTTCCTATATCTCCGATGTGAACTCCAGGCATTGGCTCGTGGGTCTCCTCATCGCGAACTTGCACGAAGAACATGTGGGGTCCTTTGGACTGGTTGTTGATGTATAGCTGCGCCATCACCAGACAGTAATTCGAAGCATGACCCACTGGAGATGAGGATTTGTTACTCAGAAATTCATAAACAGATCGTAGTAGATTTCAACTTACACCCGCCAGGCCAAAACTTGTAGGAGGATATCTTGGGGGTGTTCAGTATGAACTCGTCAGTCTGGGGATCAAAATCCGCTCTGGTTTCCAACCCACGCAAGTAGGTTCCGTGACCCAGCTCCGTTTGGGCATACGTGCCGCAGATCTCAAATCTTTCCAAGCGTTTTCCAAAGTCCTCGTACTGCTCTGGAGTGCACTGGGCCTGCAACGCCTTGACAACCATCACGTACATAACTCCAAAAGGGTTCCCGGCAGGTGTTAGACCCCACATCTCCCTGCTGTCGTAAAGATTTCTGTACAGAAAGATAACGAATTTCAGGCCACTAGTTGAAGAAATTAAAGCAAATACATACGGCCAGTAATCTTCTCCGCCTGGATTGCGCTCCTCCTGCAAACGGCGCAGCTTTTTTGCCGCCTCAATAGACGTCCTTACAGAGAACTCGTTTATATCCTCGTGGGACATATTCTGGATCTGCAGCATTTCGTTCTGATCCACATCCTTATATAGATATTCCCCTAGAAACAAAGAAAAGCGATAACATAACCTCGAAGTTCTCAACTATAAAAGATAAGCCAAAGATTGGAAGAAAAAGGGACTCACGGACGCTACGGATAAACTTCAAAGCCTCCTCTCCTCCTGCCCACCAGGCGGTGAACTCTTCGCTGCTGAAACTAGACCCATCGCGCTCCTTCTGAAGGTCCGGATTAACCGATTTTGGAATAACCGAATTAGGCATGGTGCTCTGTATTTTATTTCCGAACTGAACGATAAGGGAACCGCTGAGCGACTGAGGGCCAAGTGCTCGAAACTTAGAAATAAAAGTGAATTTGTTTGGTAATCTTTCTAAACTTTGCTCACCTGCCGTTTGAAGTGCTCTTGTCAGTGGTGGTGGGAGTGAGATTATTAAATATTTATTGCACTCTTATCGAGACAACGGTTAAATCTGATTAAATTAAATACAACCATAACCCTAATTGATTTTTTTATGGTAAATACTACAGATAGCCCAGCGCAGATACTAAGTTATGAGATTACCATAACCATTAGGGGGACCTAGAGCATTGATAAGAAATTTTTGTTTAGTTGAAAATGCTAATAGTTTTCGTTTTGTTTTGATTCCAAACCTATTCTTGTGACTTTGTATTTTTATAGAACGAAACCAATACAGAATAGAGGACAGAAATATTGAACCTATACTTTCGAAGTAAAAATATTTAAAGAGATGTTTTCTTATAAATTCATAAAAGAGTATATTTGTAAAAACAAAGAATATTAAAATTAAATAACACATCACCATTACTAAAAGTGCATTGTATAGAGCACTGGACATTAAATATTAGACTTCATGAAGGGTTTAAGGTGCTGATGGAAGGACTTTGGCACTGGTTTCTGGTTCATGGGATTCTTGAGGGCAGCGTCGAAAATACGCTCATAAGCATTTCCATCAAAGGATCCCAGCGTGGAGTTAAGCTGAAGATCACTGAAGTCAAAGCCATCCACTATAGCCACGGCATCGGGACGCAATTTCGAGAGAACCGTTTCCAAGCGATCCTGCAGCTTGGCTAGATCCGTATCGGTCAGGTTGATAAACTAAGAAATAATATTATAAATGAAAATTGTGCACAACAAACTTTGTATGATCTTACTCTCAGCAAGTTGCTTAGTTGGTTGAGCGTTTCCTTGACCAAATACAGTTCCAATAGGTTTTCCAGAACCCGATTAAAGGCCGCTGATCGGTTCTTAGAGTTGGGGCCAGTCACTTCAGTGGTAAACGACGAGAAAATAAATGCGCGCCCATGAAGCTAAAAATATCAGGCTTTTAGCAGGTCAACGAACCTCTTTTTATTCATACTAACCTCTGCTGCCTGGGTGAATTCAATCCCTGTTTGGTTAGCCGCAGTTCCTTCACTCTCTCCTCTGGATAGTCGATTGGAAAGACTCTTGAAGGCCGATTGCGTCTTACTACAAAAATATGTTTATAAATAAATTGAATATTCAAAACGGCGATCAACTTACTTTGCTGCTGCATACTTCATAGCCTTCACCATGTTTTCCCAAGTGCCTGTCCAAGTTCCAAACTGGGGATTCTTTTGAACCTCGGCCAGGTAACTGACAGTTGGAGCCAAAGGAGCTCCACTCAGTGCCGAGCGCCAAGACTTCATCAGGAAGCGTCCAATCTGGAGCAGAAGTACTGTGTTCTCGCCCTCGTAAGTGCAGGCTGCAGTAGCCGCGACGTAAAGGTTGCTCATGTTGGACGAGGTGAGGTAGCCGTGACCACCACAAGCCAGACGCAGGCGTTCCACACCAGCAGCAGAATCCGACGAACAAGTTACTTTTAAGGCGCAAGAAAGGGAATGAAGTTCTGGCAGCCGTTCGTATTTTCCATTAGCTATGTCATCAATGGTGGCGTCGTACAGCTTCCACAGATAATCGCTAGCCAGACGATGAGCCAAGCTGGTGGCTATTTCTGGGAAGAGTTTAAACTGCTGCGTTACATGGTCCATAATTTGTGGCTCCCGTTCCCTGGAAAGTAAGTAAAGTACATATTTTTTAGATTTTTTTCCATTTTTGGTGATGGAATCCACACTGATACCTATATCTTCCCCAATTCTCATCCGATTCTCAAGCGGAGTACCATAAACGATTTCTGGGTCGATTCGCCACCATTCTGCATCAAAACCCTGAGACAAAATATTTTTTCGATTTTTTGTCCATTTTTCATGATAGGATCCCTTGGAAATGTGGTTTTCCCCTATAGGGTCCACAGGGATGGCTATATCTTCCCCAATTCTCATCCGATTCCCAAGCGGAGTACCTTAAACGATTTCTGGATCGATTCGCCACCATTCTGCATCAAAATCCTGAGACAAAATATTTTTTAGATTTTTTGTCCATTTTTCGTGATGGGATCCCTTGAAAATGTGGTTTTCCCCTATAGGGTCCACTGTGATGGCTATATCTTCCCCAATTCTCATTCGATTCCCAAGCGGAGTACCTTAAACGATTTCTGGATCGATTCGCCACCATTCTGCATCAAAGTCCTGAGACAAAATATTTTTTCGATTTTTTGTCCATTTTTCATGATGGGATCCCTTGGAAATGTGGTTTTCCCCTATAGGGTCCACTGTGATGGCTATATCTTCCCCAATTCTCATCCGATTCCCAAGCGGAGTACCTTAAACGATTTCTGGGTCGATTCGCCACCATTCTGCATCAAAACCCTGAGACAAAATATTTTTTACATTTTTTGTCCATTTTGCGCTATGGGGTCCCTTGAAAATGAGGTTTTCCCCTATAGGGGCCACACTGATGGCCATATCTTGCCCAATTCTCATCCGATTCCCAAGCGGAGTACCTTAAACGATTTCTGGATCGATTCGCCACCATTCTGCATCAAAACCCTGAGACAAAATATTTTTTACATTTTTTGTCCATTTTGCGCTATGGGGTCCCTTGAAAATGAGGGTTTCCCCTATAGGGGCCACACTGATGGCCACATCTTGCCCAATTCTCATCCGATTCCCAAGCGGAGTACCTTAAACGATTTCTGGATCGATTCGCCACCATTCTGCATCAAAGCCCTGAGACAAAATATTTTTTAGATTTTTTGTCCATTTTTCATGATGGGATCCCTTGGAAATGTGGTTTTCCCCTATAGGGTCCACTGTGATGGCTATATCTTCCCCAATTCTCATCCGATTCCCAAGCGGAGTACCTTAAACGATTTCTGGGTCGATTCGCCACCATTCTGCATCAAAACCCTGAGACAAAATATTTTTTACATTTTTTGTCCATTTTGCGCTATGGGGTCCCTTGAAAATGAGGTTTTCCCCTATAGGGGCCACACTGATGGCCATATCTTGCCCAATTCTCATCCGATTTCCAAGCGGAGTACCTTAAACGATTTCTGGATCGATTCGCCACCATTCTGCATCAAAACCCTGAGACAAAATATTTTTTACATTTTTTGTCCATTTTTCCTGATGGGACCCTTGAAAATGGGGTTTTGGCCTATAGGGGCCACACTGATGGTCATATCTTGCCCAATTCTCATCCGATTCCCAAGCGGAGTACCTTAAACGATTTCTGGATCGATTCGCCACCATTCTGCATCAAAACCCTGAGACAAAATATTTTTTACATTTTTTGTCCATTTTGCGCTATGGGGTCCCTTGAAAATGAGGGTTTCCCCTATAGGGGCCACACTGATGGCCACATCTTGCCCAATTCTCATCCGATTCCCAAGCGGAGTACCTTAAACGATTTCTGGATCGATTTGCCACCATTCTGCATCAAAACCCTGAGACAAAATATTTTTTAGATTTTTTGTCCATTTTTCATGATGGGATCCCTTGGAAATGTGGTTTTCCCCTATAGGGTCCACTGTGATGGCTATATCTTCCCCAATTCTCATCCGATTCCCAAGCGGAGTACCTTAAACGATTTGTGGGTCGATTCGCCACCATTCTGCATCAAAACCCTGAGACAAAATATTTTTTACATTTTTGTCCATTTTGCGCTATGGGGTCCCTTGAAAATGAGGTTTTCCCCTATAGGGGCCACACTGATGGCCATATCTTGCCCAATTCTCATCCGATTCCCAAGCGGAGTACCTTAAACGATTTCTGGATCGATTCGCCACCATTCTGCATCAAAACCCTGAGACAAAATATTTTTTACATTTTTTGTCCATTTTGCGCTATGGGGTCCCTTGAAAATGAGGGTTTCCCCTATAGGGGCCACACTGATGGCCACATCTTGCCCAATTCTCATCCGATTCCCAAGCGGAGTACCTTAAACGATTTCTGGATCGATTCGCCACCATTCTGCATCAAAACCCTGAGACAAAATATTTTTTAGATTTTTTGTCCATTTTGCGCTATGGGGTCCCTTGAAAATGAGGTTTTCCCCTATAGGGGCCACACTGATGGCCATATCTTGCCCAATTCTCATCCGATTTCCAAGCGGAGTACCTTAAACGATTTCTGGATCGATTCGCCACCATTCTGCATCAAAACCCTGAGACAAAATATTTTTTAGATTTTTTGTCCATTTTGCGCTATGGGGTCCCTTGAAAATGAGGTTTTCCCCTATAGGGGCCACACTGATGGCCATATCTTGCCCAATTCTCATCCGATTTCCAAGCGGAGTACCTTAAACGATTTCTGGATCGATTCGCCACCATTCTGCATCAAAACCCTGAGACAAAATATTTTTTACATTTTTTGTCCATTTTGCGCTATGGGGTCCCTTGAAAATGAGGTTTTCCCCTATAGGGGCCACACTGATGGCCATATCTTGCCCAATTCTCATCCGATTCCCAAGCGGAGTACCTTAAACGATTTCTGGATCGATTCGCCACCATTCTGCATCAAAACCCTGAGACAAAATATTTTTTACATTTTTGTCCATTTTGCGCTATGGGGTCCCTTGAAAACGAGGTTTCCCCCTATAGGGGCCACACTGATGGCCACATCTTGCCCAATTCTCATCCGATTCCCAAGCGGAGTACCTTAAACGATTTCTGGATCGATTCGCCACCATTCTGCATCAAAACCCTGAGACAAAATATTTTTTAGATTTTTTGTCCATTTTGCGCTATGGGGTCCCTTGAAAATGAGGTTTTCCCCTATAGGGGCCACACTGATGGCCATATCTTGCCCAATTCTCATCCGATTTCCAAGCGGAGTACCTTAAACGATTTCTGGATCGATTCGCCACCATTCTGCATCAAAACCCTGAGACAAAATATTTTTTACATTTTTTGTCCATTTTGCGCTATGGGGTCCCTTGAAAATGAGGTTTTCCCCTATAGGGGCCACACTGATGGCCATATCTTGCCCAATTCTCATCCGATTCCCAAGCGGAGTACCTTAAACGATTTCTGGATCGATTCGCCACCATTCTGCATCAAAACCCTGAGACAAAATATTTTTTACATTTTTTGTCCATTTTGCGCTATGGGGTCCCTTGAAAATGAGGGTTTCCCCTATAGGGGCCACACTGATGGCCACATCTTGCCCAATTCTCATCCGATTCCCAAGCGGAGTACCTTAAACGATTTCTGGATCGATTCGCCACCATTCTGCATCAAAACCCTGAGACAAAATATTTTTTAGATTTTTTGTCCATTTTTCATGATGGGATCCCTTGGAAATGTGGTTTTCCCCTATAGGGTCCACTGTGATGGCTATATCTTCCCCAATTCTCATCCGATTCCCAAGCGGAGTACCTTAAACGATTTCTGGGTCGATTCGCCACCATTCTGCATCAAAACCCTGAGACAAAATATTTTTTACATTTTTTGTCCATTTTGCGCTATGGGGTCCCTTGAAAATGAGGTTTTCCCCTATAGGGGCCACACTGATGGCCATATCTTGCCCAATTCTCATCCGATTTCCAAGCGGAGTACCTTAAACGATTTCTGGATCGATTCGCCACCATTCTGCATCAAAACCCTGAGACAAAATATTTTGTACATTTTTTGTCCATTTTTCCTGATGGGACCCTTGAAAATGGGGTTTTGGCCTATAGGGGCCACACTGATGGTCATATCTTGCCCAATTCTCATCCGATTCCCAAGCGGAGTACCTTAAACGATTTCTGGATCGATTCGCCACCATTCTGCATCAAAACCCTGAGACAAAATATTTTTTACATTTTTTGTCCATTTTGCGCTATGGGGTCCCTTGAAAATGAGGGTTTCCCCTATAGGGGCCACACTGATGGCCACATCTTGCCCAATTCTCATCCGATTCCCAAGCGGAGTACCTTAAACGATTTCTGGATCGATTTGCCACCATTCTGCATCAAAACCCTGAGACAAAATATTTTTTAGATTTTTTGTCCATTTTTCATGATGGGATCCCTTGGAAATGTGGTTTTCCCCTATAGGGTCCACTGTGATGGCTATATCTTCCCCAATTCTCATCCGATTCCCAAGCGGAGTACCTTAAACGATTTGTGGGTCGATTCGCCACCATTCTGCATCAAAACCCTGAGACAAAATATTTTTTACATTTTTTGTCCATTTTGCGCTATGGGGTCCCTTGAAAATGAGGTTTTCCCCTATAGGGGCCACACTGATGGCCATATCTTGCCCAATTCTCATCCGATTCCCAAGCGGAGTACCTTAAACGATTTCTGGATCGATTCGCCACCATTCTGCATCAAAACCCTGAGACAAAATATTTTTACATTTTTTGTCCATTTTGCGCTATGGGGTCCCTTGAAAATGAGGGTTTCCCCTATAGGGGCCACACTGATGGCCACATCTTGCCCAATTCTCATCCGATTCCCAAGCGGAGTACCTTAAACGATTTCTGGATCGATTCGCCACCATTCTGCATCAAAACCCTGAGACAAAATATTTTTTAGATTTTTTGTCCATTTTGCGCTATGGGGTCCCTTGAAAATGAGGTTTTCCCCTATAGGGGCCACACTGATGGCCATATCTTGCCCAATTCTCATCCGATTTCCAAGCGGAGTACCTTAAACGATTTCTGGATCGATTCGCCACCATTCTGCATCAAAACCCTGAGACAAAATATTTTTTACATTTTTTGTCCATTTTGCGCTATGGGGTCCCTTGAAAATGAGGTTTTCCCCTATAGGGGCCACACTGATGGCCATATCTTGCCCAATTCTCATCCGATTCCCAAGCGGAGTACCTTAAACGATTTCTGGATCGATTCGCCACCATTCTGCATCAAAACCCTGAGACAAAATATTTTTTACATTTTTTGTCCATTTTGCGCTATGGGGTCCCTTGAAAATGAGGGTTTCCCCTATAGGGGCCACACTGATGGCCACATCTTGCCCAATTCTCATCCGATTCCCAAGCGGAGTACCTTAAACGATTTCTGGATCGATTCGCCACCATTCTGCATCAAAACCCTGAGACAAAATATTTTTTAGATTTTTTGTCCATTTTGCGCTATGGGGTCCCTTGAAAATGAGGTTTTCCCCTATAGGGGCCACACTGATGGCCATATCTTGCCCAATTCTCATCCGATTTCCAAGCGGAGTACCTTAAACGATTTCTGGATCGATTCGCCACCATTCTGCATCAAAACCCTGAGACAAAATATTTTTTACATTTTTTGTCCATTTTGCGCTATGGGGTCCCTTGAAAATGAGGTTTTCCCCTATAGGGGCCACACTGATGGCCATATCTTGCCCAATTCTCATCCGATTCCCAAGCGGAGTACCTTAAACGATTTCTGGATCGATTCGCCACCATTCTGCATCAAAACCCTGAGACAAAATATTTTTTACATTTTTTGTCCATTTTGCGCTATGGGGTCCCTTGAAAATGAGGGTTTCCCCTATAGGGGCCACACTGATGGCCACATCTTGCCCAATTCTCATCCGATTCCCAAGCGGAGTACCTTAAACGATTTCTGGATCGATTCGCCACCATTCTGCATCAAAACCCTGAGACAAAATATTTTTTAGATTTTTTGTCCATTTTGCGCTATGGGGTCCCTTGAAAATGAGGGTTTCCCCTATAGGGGCCACACTGATGGCCACATCTTGCCCAATTCTCATCCGATTCCCAAGCGGAGTACCTTAAACGATTTCTGGATCGATTCGCCACCATTCTGCATCAAAACCCTGAGACAAAATATTTTTTAGATTTTTTGTCCATTTTTCATGATGGGATCCCTTGGAAATGTGGTTTTCCCCTATAGGGTCCACTGTGATGGCTATATCTTCCCCAATTCTCATCCGATTCCCAAGCGGAGTACCTTAAACGATTTCTGGGTCGATTCGCCACCATTCTGCATCAAAACCCTGAGACAAAATATTTTTTAGATTTTTTGTCCATTTTTCCTGATGGGACCCTTGAAAATGGGGTTTTGGCCTATAGAGGCCACACTGATGGTCATATCTTGCCCAATTCTCATCCGATTCCCAAGCGGAGTACCTTAAACGATTTCTGGATCGATTCGCCACCATTCTGCATCAGAACCCTGAGACAAAATATTTTTTACATTTTTTGTCCATTTTGCGCTATGGGGTCCCTTGAAAATGAGGGTTTCCCCTATAGGGGCCACACTGATGGCCACATCTTGCCCAATTCTCATCCGATTCCCAAGCGGAGTACCTTAAACGATTTCTGGATCGATTCGCCACCATTCTGCATCAAAACCCTGAGACAAAATATTTTTTAGATTTTTTGTCCATTTTTCATGATGGGATCCCTTGGAAATGTGGTTTTCCCCTATAGGGTCCACTGTGATGGCTATATCTTCCCCAATTCTCATCCGATTCCCAAGCGGAGTACCTTAAACGATTTCTGGGTCGATTCGCCACCATTCTGCATCAAAACCCTGAGACAAAATATTTTTTACATTTTTTGTCCATTTTGCGCTATGGGGTCCCTTGAAAATGAGGTTTTCTTGCCATATCTTGCCCAATTCTCATCCGATTCCCAAGCGGAGTACCTTAAACGATTTCTGGATCGATTCGCCACCATTCTGCATCAAAACCCTGAGACAAAATATTTTTTAGATTTTTTGTCCATTTTTCCTGATGGGACCCTTGAAAATGGGGTTTTGGCCTATAGGGGCCACACTGATGGTCATATCTTGCCCAATTCTCATCCGATTCCCAAGCGGAGTACCTTAAACGATTTCTGGATCGATTCGCCACCATTCTGCATCAAAACCCTGAGTCAAAATATTTTTTAGATTTTTTGTCCATTTTGCGCTATGGGGTCCCTTGAAAATGAGGGTTTCCCCTATAGGGGCCACACTGATGGCCACATCTTGCCCAATTCTCATCCGATTCCCAAGCGGAGTACCTTAAACGATTTCTGGATCGATTCGCCACCATTCTGCATCAAAACCCTGAGACAAAATATTTTTTAGATTTTTTGTCCATTTTTCATGATGGGATCCCTTGGAAATGTGGTTTTCCCCTATAGGGTCCACTGTGATGGCTATATCTTCCCCAATTATCGTCCGATTCCCAAGCGGAGTACCTTAAACGATTTCTGGGTCGATTCGCCACCATTCTGCATCAAAACCCTGAGAAAAAAATATTTTTTACATTTTTTGTCCATTTTGCGCTATGGGGTCCCTTGAAAATGAGGTTTTCCCCTATAGGGGCCACACTGATGGCCATATCTTGCCCAATTCTCATCCGATTCCCAAGCGGAGTACCTTAAACGATTTCTGGATCGATTCGCCACCATTCTGCATCAAAACCCTGAGACAAAATATTTTTTAGATTTTTTGTCCATTTTTCCTGATGGGACCCTTGAAAATGGGGTTTTGGCCTATAGGGGCCACACTGATGGTCATATCTTGCCCAATTCTCATCCGATTCCCAAGCGGAGTACCTTAAACGATTTCTGGATCGATTCGCCACCATTCTGCATCAAAACCCTGAGACAAAATATTTTTAGATTTTTTGTCCATTTTTGGTGAAGGGATCCCTTGAAAATGGGGTTTTCCCCTATAGGGACCACACTGATGGCCATATCTTGCCCAATTCTCATCCGATTCCCAAGCGGAGTACCTTAAACGATTTCTGGATCGATTCGCCACCATTCTGCATCAAAACCCTGAGACAAAATATTTTTTACATTTTTTGTCCATTTTTGGTGAAGGGATCCCTTGAAAATGGGGTTTTCCCCTATAGGGACCACACTGATGGCCATATCTTGCCCAATTCTCATCCGATTCCCAAGCGGAGTACCTTAAACGATTTCTGGATCGATTCGCCACCATTCTGCATCAAAACCCTGAGACAAAATATTTTTTAGATTTTTGTCCATTTTTGGTGAAGGGATCCCTTGAAAATGGGGTTTTCCCCTATAGGGACCACACTGATGGCCATATCTTGCCCAATTCTCATCCGATTCCCAAGCGGAGTACCTTAAACGATTTCTGGATCGATTCGCCACCATTCTGCATCAAAACCCTGAGACAAAATATTTTTTAGATTTTTTGTCCATTTTTGGTGAAGGGATCCCTTGAAAATGGGGTTTTCCCCTATAGGGACCACACTGATGGCCATATCTTGCCCAATTCTCATCCGATTCCCAAGCGGAGTACCTTAAACGATTTCTGGATCGATTCGCCACCATTCTGCATCAAAACCCTGAGACAAAATATTTTTTAGATTTTTTGTCCATTTTTGGTGATGGGATCCCTTGAAAATGGGGTTTTCCCCTATAGGGACCACACTGATGGCCATATCTTGCCCAATTCTCATCCGATTCCCAAGCGGAGTACCTTAAACGATTTCTGGATCGATTCGCCACCATTCTGCATCAAAACCCTGAGACAAAATATTTTTTAGATTTTTTGTCCATTTTTGGTGAAGGGATCCCTTGAAAATGGGGTTTTCCCCTATAGGGACCACACTGATGGCCATATCTTGCCCAATTCTCATCCGATTCCCAAGCGGAGTACCTTAAACGATTTCTGGATCGATTCGCCACCATTCTGCATCAAAACCCTGAGACAAAATATTTTTTAGATTTTTTGTCCATTTTTGGTGAAGGGATCCCTTGAAAATGGGGTTTTCCCCTATAGGGACCACACTGATGGCCATATCTTGCCCAATTCTCATCCGATTCCCAAGCGGAGTACCTTAAACGATTTCTGGATCGATTCGCCACCATTCTGCATCAAAACCCTGAGACAAAATATTTTTTAGATTTTTTGTCCATTTTTGGTGATGGGATCCCTTGAAAATGGGGTTTTCCCCTATAGGGACCACACTGATGGCCATATCTTGCCCAATTCTCATCCGATTCCCAAGCGGAGTACCTTAAACGATTTCTGGATCGATTCGCCACCATTCTGCATCAAAACCCTGAGACAAAATATTTTTAGATTTTTTGTCCATTTTTGGTGAAGGGATCCCTTGAAAATGGGGTTTTCCCCTATAGGGACCACACTGATGGCCATATCTTGCCCAATTCTCATCCGATTCCCAAGCGGAGTACCTTAAACGATTTCTGGATCGATTCGCCACCATTCTGCATCAAAACCCTGAGACAAAATATTTTTTAGATTTTTTGTCCATTTTCGGTGATGGGATCCCTTGAAAATGGGGGTTTCCCCTATAAGGCCCATAGTTATAATACCGTCTGCAAGGGTATGAATATAAGGAATATGTCATGAACTTACTTCGGATTTATGGGACTCTGTCGGCGCACAGCAGAATACCTTGTAGCAATGGTAGCAGCTCCTGCAAGCATCAGGGCATTGTTGCGAGCAATCACACAGCGCGTGCGCACCATGGCGAAGTAGGTAAGAACGTTAGCTGGGCTGCTCACATAGGAGCCGTCGGCATTGACTTTGGCGTGTCGCATCAACATGCGGGTGCGAGGAATCCTCACGTTTTTTAAGCCCAGGAAACCATTGTTTACTCCGATGAAGCCCATCTTCTTTCCAATATCACCAATGTGGACGCCAGGCAGGGGTTCGTGGGTCTCTTCATCGCGCACTTGGACAAAGAACATGTGTGGTCCTTTAGATACATTGTTGATGTACAACTGCGCCATTATCAGACAGTAGTTGGAGCTGTGACCCACTATGGAAATAAAGTCCATTCGTAAGTGAAAAAAAAACAATAAAAATGCTGATTACTTACAGCCTCCTGGCCAAAACTTGTAGGAAGATATCTTCGGCGTGTTCAGTACAAATTCATCCGTTTTGGGATCGAAATCAGCTCTAGTTTCCAGGCCACGCAGATAAGTGCCATGACCTAGCTCAGTTTGAGCGTACGTGCCGCAGATCTCGAACTTCTCCATGCGTTTTCCGAACTCTTCGTATTGCTCCGGTGTACACTGGGCCTGCAGCGCCTTGACCAGCATTACGTACATCACTCCAAAGGGATTGCCGGCGGGTGTGAGACCCCACATCACCTTGCTGTCGTAGAGATTTCTAAAAGAGAAAATGTTGACTTGGAGAATTGCATTTTATAAAATATTTAAGAAAATATTCACGGCCAGTACTCCTCCCCGCCAGGATTGCGCTCCTCCTGGAGACGACGCAGCTTTTTGGCTGCATCGATAGACGTCCGTACGGAAAATTCGTTAATATCCTCGTGTGACATATTCTGGATCTGCAGCATCTCGTCCAGATTCACATCCTTTTGCAGGTAATCGCCTAAAAAGAGCATCGTCAGCATGACCCTATGCATATTGCCCCCAACTGATAAGCTGGAGATTGCGAGAGGAATGGACTTACGAATGCCCCGGGTGAACTTTAGATCCTCATCGCTTCCTGCCCACCAGGCGGCGAACTCCTCGCTACTAAAACTTGCTCCATCCCGTTCCTTTTGCAGATCCGGATTAACTGTTTTGGGGATCACCGATGAGGACATTGTTCAGAACTGCCGAAATGCGCGCGCTAAGAGAACTGATCGCGAATTGAGGTCCAAGTGGCGGACCCCTTCATTAAAAGCGAAACTTTTTCCAATCTTAATGTAAACTTTGATCGTCCGCTCTTTGGAGTGCTCTCTTCTTGCTGTATGTGTTAGATTGTTGTTTATTAACTAATAACACTCTTATCTTGGGAACAGTTAAAATTGCTTTATATTCAGAGCTAGATAGGTATGTTTTGGGCTACAATTTGTTTTTATACTAGTACATCATTAAGATAAGAAATTGAAGACACAGAGAATACATTTTTAAGATTATTTTGCGCTCTCAGCTGTTATAACTGAAATTGGGTCACTGATAGACGATTCTAAAGATCAAAAGTTATCGTTTTCCCCGCCACTGTTATCGAGCACTTACCATCCCTATTGCTGTTTGTTTTGGTTTTAGCATATACTTTGTTTTGGTTTTTATTGAGCGAGATCTGTATGGAAAGATGCCTACCAACTTTAATGTTGGCCTCCTGGGGCATGTGGACAGTGGAAAAACCACTCTAGCTAAAGCCTTAAGCTCCGTTTCCAGTACGGCCGCCTTCGACAAAAATCCCCAGTCCGTGGAGCGAGGAATTACTCTGGATCTGGGATTCAGTGGAGTGCTGGCTCAGACACCCCAAGGAGACCCTCTTCAATTCACCTTTGTGGATTGTCCTGGACATGCAAGCCTTATCAGGACTATTATAGGAGGTGACTACACAGCATTTAATGAAAATCGGAAAGTAATTATTTCCATGTTTTGCAGGAGCCCAGATTATTGATCTTATGGTGCTCGTTGTAGATGCGCAGAAAGGAATCCAGACCCAGACGGCCGAGTGTCTGATCATTGGGGAGCTGCTGCAGAAGAAGCTGATAGTGGTGATTAACAAAATCGATGTTTTGGCAGCAGACCAACGGGAGAGTAAGCTGGAGAAACTGCGTTCACGACTGTCAAAGACCCTAGGTTCTACTAGCTTTGGTAGTCAGGTACCCATGTATAGCGTCTCAGCTTTAGAAGGCACTAATATTATGGCATTGCGTGCCGGCCTCAACGATGCTTTCTTCCAACCAGAGAGGAACTTAAATGCTCCTTTGTTAATGTACGTCGACCACTGCTTCGGAATCAAAGGACAAGGAACTGTATGCACAGGCACCCTGCTACAGGGAAGAGTCCAAGTCAATGACACGGTGGAGCTTCCAGCTCTGAAAGAGCAGCGGAAAGTTAAATCCATGCAGATGTTCCGACAGAACGTTACCAGTGCCTCCATGGGCGATCGCATTGGCTTGTGTGTCACCCAATTCAATGCCAAGTTAATGGAACGCGGTGTGATTGCTGAACCAGGATACCTAAAGCCCATCTACGCCGTGTGCCTGCAGCTTCGTCCAATCCGCTATTATAAACAATCAATTAAATCTAATAGTAAACTTCACATCTCCGTTGGACATGACACTGTGATGGCCAGCGTGACGCTGTTTCGGGATAATGAGAAGCACTCCACGGACTTCCATCCAGAAAAGGATTACGAATTTATAGAAGAGATCCTTCCAGCGGAGGTGCCTGCATCTGATGTGGTTTTCGCCTTGCTGCAGTTCGAGACTCCTGCGTTAATCCCTCCCAATTCAATACTGATAGCTTCCAAATTGGATATGGATGTACATAGCACCAGTTGCCGCCTGGCTTTTTGGGGCCGAATAGCCTGGCAGACGCAAAGTTCCACCTGCGCTCAGGATGTTTTGCCGAAACTGCGAATCTTCAAGCGAAAACAAAAAGTTGGCGGCATTCAGCGTGTTGTTACCGCGAATGAAGTGATTGTTCATAATCTATTTAAGAAGGAAGCCAACAGAGACTTGTTCGTCGGCAAATGGGTGGACTTATCCACTGGAGAACGGGGCCTTATCGAAAGAACCTTTGGACAAACCTCGAAAGTAGCTATTAATTTTCGAGAAGCCCTTTCCACAGATACAATTCAAAATATTAAGGATGTAAAGGTGGTGCTTAATTGTAAAAAATATGTTTTTAATAAACAGGCGGGACTGTTCCAATGAAATTCCATCCTTGCAGAGTTCTATAAAATTTAAAAAGGACCGCCAATTGGAGGTAATCACTATCGAGTGTCGATAATGGTGCTAAATTTTAGATCATCCCCAAGAATACGCGTAGGAGTGTTGAAAAACGGCCATTGCAGTGCTGCAAAACATATATACCAAAAAACAACAAATCTGGTGCCTGCCGCTGTCCCCACGAAACTGCAACTAACAAACATCGAAATTGAAACGAAGACCAACATCCAGCCCCCAACTGCAATTGCAGCCACCGCCAAAACCACACCACCAAGAAACCGAACCCCATAGAGAGGCCAAAATTACTATTAACAAATGTGCTGCTGCGCCCTTTTCCCGCTGCTGCTCCTCCTGATATTTGGCACAAGGGCAACGCACCAGGTGAATGTCGACTGCAACGAGCTGCAGATGATGGGTCAGTTCATGTGCCCGGACCCGGCAAGAACAGACCACATCGATCCCAAGACTCAGCAACTAGCAGGCTGCACAAAGGAGGGCCGCGCCCGCGTCTGGTGCATCGCCGCCAGCGAAATCAATTGCACGGAAACTGGAAATTCCTCGTTTACCAGGGAAGTGCCCTGCAAGTGGACGTGAGTTTCTATAATTTCCATTAATGTTTCGTCCCCTAAGAGATTATTCTTCGTAGAAATGGCTACCACTTGGATACCACTCTCCTGCTCTCCGTGTTTTTGGGAATGTTTGGCGTGGACCGGTTCTACCTGGGCTATCCTGGCATTGGACTGCTCAAGTTCTGTACGCTAGGCGGCATGTTCCTGGGCCAGCTGGTGGACATAATACTCATAGCTCTGCAGGTGGTGGGCCCGGCCGATGGTTCCGCCTATGTTATACCATACTATGGCGCTGGAATCCACATCGTTCGCAGTGACAACGTAACGTACCGGCTGCCCAGGGACGACTGGTGATGGTTAAGGAGGCACAGCGCCTGGTGTACAGTAGATCATGTTAAGTCCTTGTTATATCTTAAGTACGGCTTATGACACTAAGCAACGACTGCCCGACTCAGATTCAGATCCAGATTCAGATTCAGATTAGTGCATTACGTACCCTAGTTGATAAGTGTAAAGATTGTTGCCACCATCATTTGCGTAGCCTAAGTTGCATTGTTTAGTCTTAGTTACCACTGTACATGGTCCCTTATACAACTCTACATCGGTGTAATTGTATAGACCACATAGACAAATTGTTTGCCAATATAACTAACGATTTTAATCATATATATATACCTATATGCCAATCTCTTAATATCCTCAGCATGATTGACTCTCTCAGAACAATCGCCCATCTTCGTCGACGCAAAAAATAATTGGCCCACATGTACTTTGATCTCTCGAACATTTTCGCCGTGACAGAGTTTGGTCACAGACACGATGTTGACTCACCGCCGCCGCCAGTGCTAATCGAAAACGCACAGGGGGCATATGGGGATGGGGAATTTGGACGATCGGGGCATCAGCAGCCGAGCGGAGAAGGAGATGTCCGTGTTGCTGCTGGGTCTTTCATCAGATTGGCATTTCCGAAATAATCTGCGGCGACGCATCAGCCGGCAAGTTGTTCGATTTTAATTGCATAGCCGGAGCCGGGGTCGGTTGTAACTCGATGCGTTTTAATTAGGCTCTTAATTAAGATCAAGTTTAATTTTATATGGAAATGGGTAAGTATTTGGATGCAAATTTTAAGAAATTTTATTGTTTGCTTAAATATGTGTACTTATAATTAAGTAAATAATGCACTAAAGGAGCTCTTACCAATCTTAAATACCATCATTATAGTAGTTGAGCTCAATCATACTCCCCAGTTGCGCGATGTGTGTAAAAATGATATTATTGTTGGCCCAGACATCGGTAAACAATATCCTCAACCTAGCACGCCCCCTTTTGAATGGGCAATGCACTGACCTGCCGCCCAGTTTATTGTTATGTGGACATGCGGAGAAGGGCTTTTCAATTAGCCAGGCCAGAAGAGGACAATATGTTGTTGATGTCGCAGTGGTCGGCACGCCTAATTACAGTGTGAGAGTCGTGCCGCCTGTGTAAACAAACTGGGGGAATGGGCCAGGGTAACCAGGCGCAGAAGCCCGATCTTTGTGTCCATTCATGCGAGGTCTTTGGACCGTCAGATATCGCTTACTGTTGTCCGATTGCAGGGGGCAAATGAACTCTGCGCCATTAGTGAAATTTGAGGAGCTTGGCAAGCCGGTTGTTTGTTTTTGGTACGCGCGTGGTAACCTTCTGGAAAATGCCCAGAATCCCAGAATCCATGGGGAGTATTGACTTTGGCTCTGACTGGTCGCGGTTTACAAACTATTTCACAACTCTCCGGCTGGACTGGGGGTGTTTGAATTGGGATAATCCTCACCTGACTCGCCGCCTCCATTCCAGAAATAGAACCACAATAGAGCCGAGTCAAATAATTGTCAATTGCAAATATTTGCCAGTATCAAAATAGCATCGATGCGATGCGCAAACTGCTCTCTATTGTATTGTAAATATAGCACAAAATCGGTACACTTTAAAAACAATCTGGATTTCTATAGCTTTTATTAACGATTGCAAGTCCAAGTCATCTTCTTGACCAATTCCCTTTACCAAAGGAATGGTTCTTGTAATATCTTTAATTCTTGGAGTATTTATTTTAAAATTTAAATGAAAAACTGACCATTTTTCCTTGTGTGGATAATTGGTGAAAAAGGGGGATGGGTCTCTGGCTTGGAGACGGCCGACGAGTTTCTTATTTGCCCAGCGCTTAGGAGCTCAACGGTTAATTACGCTCAAGTGGCGTGGAAAATTGTGGGGCGGGATTCTCAGATTTCCAACCGTCCGCCCACTCCAACCCAACCGACCGACCCGATGACGTTTATGCCAAATTGCTTTGCACTTTGTTTACAAGAGGGAGAACTGGGGAACCTATGCAAATAGCATTTAATGAAACGCAATTATTTAATTTTACAGGCTGCGTCACGGTTCCCACCTGGCCCCATGTTGCATACTACACTACACCATACCGTGTTGCATATTGCAACGCTCGTCGATGATCGTTGACGTCGCGTCGCCTCATAAATAATGACTGGGCAACCTCCGTCGTAGTGACAAAATCTACGGCCTGGGAAACTCGAATCCGTTAAAGCCAGAGCTGGAGCTGAAGCTGAAGCTAAAGCCATAATCCAAGCCCGAGTATCGTTCGTGATAACTGCAATTTTCCTAGCCAGTATTCACAACTACAGATACAATGAGTGCATAAATCATCTCCATCTGCTCAGCTGCAACTCTGTGGCATTTTCTTAGCTTAAAGTAAAACCAAAAAGCGCCGCATAAATGTCAAATGCCTGGCAGTTTGATTTGGCCGCGGGTTAAGTGTGAATTATCCCAGGGCCTCGGATCTCTCAGCACCATTTGTATGTTGTCTCATCTGCAGAATATGCATTTGAGTGCAGGCCTTAAGTGCTATTATCGCAATCGCGGCAAATGCCACGGATTGTGGCTGTCATTGCGGCGTAAAGCCTTTTAATGAATGGGTTCATTCATGGTGGGAAGTGAGTGCCTTGGAAAATTCATAAATATTTCAACCCAAATCCATTCTGTAATTGCTAAGAAATGCTTACGCTTCATGGGTTGGCCCAAGATTATTCATTTCACCTGACTTTTATTGACCTTATCAATTCTCACATGACACCCATTGATCTAGCTATCACCTGATATAGAAATTTGATGGATTGCCTCTGGAAATATAAGGAGAGCTTAAAGTTTCCATCGATTATCTTCTGTCGTGTAATTACCACTTTCCCTATATATTTCCGGAAGATTAAATTCCTTAGGGCAATTTCACCAGATTCCACCTGACACCCCTCTGATAGTGCTCCAAGGTCTGGTAATTTCTCCTGCCTCCCAAACAAAGGCGATCTTATCGATCAGTTGTTCCCCCACACTTGAACTTCAATTCATTCATGCTTCGGCTGACAAGTAATCTTATCGATACTACGCCCAGGGAATGTGCTTATCAGCCGGGGGGGAGGCCCTCCCTCTCTGTATCTTCATATGGGAAAGAATCCCTGGGCACGCGGAGCTGTCAAAACAACAGAAGTCGTCGCAGACAGCGCGGAATACCACTTGCCATTGGACACATTCTAATTGGCAAGAGTTCCCGGAATTGATCAATATTGAATTGAGTTGCTTACCTGAGGAGTGGTAATGTGCTGGATCGTGGCTGGTGGGGCGCTTCTCAGGTTCGTCGTGTTAACAACACCACCCTGCCACCCCACTGCCCATGGAGTCTTTCATTTCGCTGAGGAATGTGCGATTGTAGATTGAAATTCGATTTTCAATTGCAACTATTGGGGGCTGCGCCTTTGAAGTTGTTATTGTGTGTGACTTTGGCCATCGCTCATTACCTGTATACACCGGAGAAAGCTCAAGGCTTTTTTACTAAATTGATATATTGATTAATTCTAATATTAAGACAATATCTAATATATAAAAATGGCTAAGAAGTTAACTATAAATCAGCAAAATTATCTAAATCACTAAATCAGAACAACTATCATGTTTTTTTTTTCTTTTTGTATATCAAACTTTCAACTTGAAGAATTAAACGTATAAAATATAGTTCAAAATATATAAGCAAAAAGCACCTCAGAGTTTTTCTCAGTGCACCTAATTAGCGCTAAATGAGAAGCTTTTTGTCGCGGGTCCCCTCCAACTCCCTCCCCACTTTACCCAGAAATCCACTCCCCCAAAAAGCAGAGCAAAGAGCGAGCCCCCAAAAATATTAGAAGCCAAGAAGCCCCATTGAAGCTAATGGTTTAATTTTAAAACTTAATTCTGAAAACATTTGTTATAAGGAAATAGTTATATGAAATATACATATATGTTTGATAATATTTTAATTTGATAATTTAATTTGTACATTTAGTGTGTACTCCAAAGAGAAAATAGAGCTCTATTATTTCAAAATATTTTTTTAATTACTCTTTAATGGAATTTAATTTTTTAATGGAATTAAGAATTAATTATCAATTTAAAAAATTTATTTTTTACTCTTTTAATTTTTTATAATGGAATTTCCGCGCGAAATGTCTCAACACTGGCGCTCGTCAAACCAAAATTCCGAACTCGAACCAAGTTTGAGTTCGCATCGAACGGAATAAAGTATCTCAGTTTAAAAGATATTTAGTTTCGAATGGAGTGTGCCGGCGAGCGGGTGCGATTTTGGTGCGACTAAAAACGCTCGGAAGTGATTCGAATTGCTGGCCAGGAATTAAAAAACATTTTTTCGACTCGTATGGGAAAATTCGCGCGAAATTTTCACGTTTTCTGATTAGCAGATCGTTAGGCTCGTCTGACAAAAATCAAAAAGAAACCAATTATAATTAAAAAGTGGTCGTAAAAAATAAAATAAAAACAAGAAAACAAAACACAAGACCGAAATTGTTATCAACACGGTGAGCTTTTAATACGGGCTTAGCTCGATTTTCTGATTTTCTGCGTGTGCGGTGGCTGTTGCGTCTTTTTATTCCCCATTTAACAACAAAATAACAACAAAAAATTTGAAACAAAACCCCGCTGGGAGTGCTGAGGCAAATGGGAATTGGCGCGCAATTTCATTGAATTGAATGCAAATTGCACTCGCGGCGCAGCTAAAAAATTGAACCTTTGACAGCTATAGCGTGAAGCCGAGGCAGAGGCAGAAAAAAATCAGCATCAAAATCGAAATCAAAATCAAACTCAAACTCAAATTCAAAAAAAGCAAAAGGCAGCGGTCGCGCGAACACAACGTGGCGTATGCGTAATCTGTGTGGCAAACGAACGAAATACTCGCAATCGAATTGAAATTGAAATGGAAATGGAAATTGAAATGAAAGGCGCGCGCCGGCTCAAATAAATTATGCGCCAGTGAGAATTCTCTAGTGCCCCCCCTCCCGTCTCGCTCCACCATCTCCTGTCACTGTCTTTGCGTTTTTTTCTCCCTTTCCCGCTGCGAGACACGCGAAATAGACACAAACATGGCAATTGAAAATGCGATTCATATCGGCCTACTACAACAACAATAACACAAACAACTTCTAGGCCAAAAAGAATAACAACATCAGCAGCAGCAACATCAGCAACAGCAACAGCGATGATCGCAGCAACATGTCAAGCATAATTAATTTTCGATTCTGTTTTTGCTGCCGCCGATTTCTTGCCACCACCTCCTCCAGAACCGTCAGAACCATCAGAACCGTCAGTAGCGTCAGTACCGCCAATAGCCCCACCACCGACGCCGCCTCATCCTCGGACCTGGAAGTGTAATTACGGGTAAACTTTGCGTCTTTACTTAAAGTATTCCTTTGTAATTAATCTCTGCCTCTCCGGGCAATACCTCTCCGGTCTTTGTTGCTATTTCGCGATTTTGTTTTATTATAATGCGAATGCGAATGCGAAACATATAAACATTCGTTCCCACTTATCTGTGTGTCTCTCTCCCTGTGGGTGGGTGTGTGTGCAATCTGCCTTTGTTGTTTCAACATTTTGCGAAAATTGTTTAATTGTTTGGATTCTATTATCACATTCGGGGGGCTCTCAGTTCCCCCAGGCTCGAGCTACCCAGAACTCTCGTTCTCTCTGAGGAAATATTTTGGAAATTTATTGGACCTGCCCATATATACCACTATTGCCATTAGAATTTATGACTGCCCGAGTCGACTACAAATCAAATACAACTCAAATTACGGCTGGAAGTGGACGAACAAACATATGTTTCGCCTGGCAAGTAGTTAATCGAGAACATTTGCATACAATTTTGTAAGAGGCGGAAATTTACTGCACACAGTTCCCCTCCGGCATGGCAATCTAACATTTCGAATATCTAGAATTTGGAGTGACTTTAAGCCGCTTAACGAGCCACCAGCTAATTGAGCGATTAAACACGGGCTTGGACTGCATTTTGGGGTATTCGGGGTGTCGTGGGCATGGAAATGGCCAACTTCAACTGTTGCCGGGCATGAATCACTGCGGTGAGACATATTGTTTAACCAATTAGTAACGATGTGTCAAATATCTCGCTGTGATATACAGATAAATACGGGCCAAGTGCCTGACTTGGCTGATAAATCACTCCACCAGCTGCAACTGCCACTGCAACAGCAACCTCAACTGCAATTGCGATTGCAGTTGCAAGTTGAATTGTCGCTAAGCTAATCGCTGGCAATTTCCTGTATTACATTGACATAACCATAAAAAGTATTATCCTAGACAGAGCCAGACAGAACACAATGAACCGGCTCATTAGGAGGAGCGACCGGGAAAAAGGACACAAATACAAATTACTACTCCCGGGGCTAAGACACAAGCCGAAACGCAAACAGAAGAAGCAATAAAGCTTAAGAAATGCTGGTAATAACTGCGCTTTCGGAGCGGGGAATGGGGGCTGGGAAGGAGTAGGACAGGGAGGAGCTAAAGCCACATGGGTTAATGCGAATGTGCGCCGGCATGTCCATGAAATGTCCATAGAACAAACGTCTGACTAGAAGTCGGAGTACTCGGCTAAACAGGCGACACACCAGGCCATGGATGACAGACCCCATTCCTAGTAACCCGGCCCGATCCCTGGTTCTAGTCCCCTCCGATTCCCAATTCCCGATTCCCTATCCCCCATTCCCCACTCCCCACTCCCGATTCCTGATCCCCGACATGACAAGACAAACCGACGGACTTTCCCGTACTCTGCCTAGGTGTCGCTTTTTTGCTGTTGTTTCTGTTCGCTTTATAATAAAAATGCAACCATACCAGTTTTGCCAACTGACAACGGCCAACATACACACTCTCGCACACACACACCTCGGTGCAGGCGACGGGGCCAACTCGTTTGCCCCTTCTGCCCACAAAACAACAACAAAACCAAGCAACAACTGCAACTACAACTATAAACTGCATGTGAATTTGGTTTCAAAAAACAATCTATACACTTTGGCAAAGGGGCATCTTAACTGGTGGATGGCTTTGGGGTTTCTTTTAAAAGGGTATATTGTACAAGATCCTGTGAGCATATTTCTCTTGACAACTTTGAGATAAAAATACTTTATAATTCCACCAAGAGCATACAACCTTCGTTTAAAGACATCCTTGTGATATAGTAGTTCATGTTGCAACTCTCTCTGGCCATCAAGTCCCCCCGACAGGCCCCTCGGACCACGTACACGCACCTGTCCGAGCGTAGAGCCAGGCGGTCTGCGATCTGTGATCGGGGATCTTGGATCTGGGATCTGCAATCTTTTAGCGGGTCTTCGAGTCTGCTCCGTACCAGAGTCTGTGGCTGGACGATCAGCAATCCGCTCACTCACCTGTGGACCTGCAACTGACGACTTTTTGCAGGTGTTTTGTTTGTTTGCCGGACAGTTGTAGGCTTGCGGTTGATTATGCTGCCCCAAGAGGGGGTACAAACTGTGGCACTGCCTGCATAATAATAATCCGGCAATTAAAATATGATCGCATAATAACTCGACACTCGTGCGTCTGCTTATGATTTATGGTTCAGCTTGTTCGGCAGCGACTCCATCGGCTTATTTATAGAGATGGTCCAGCTATAGTCGTCCGATTCCCAGTCCCGGTAGCTGCCCCTCTCGAGAGCCACCTTCTAGTGGGGTAATTGTGTGGTGGGACTACTTTTTCCGCCGCTGGTTCTTCTGCTCCACGCACACTTTTGCATTTTAGCTTAAAGGTAAATTGCTGTCGCCAAGCGCCAGACGATAGTCCCCGTCCCCCTTTTAGTTTTTTATTTTATTTTATTTTTTAAACAAGCCTGGGCCGGCTTGGCTCGTTTCGTTTTGGCAAAACCCAAAACAGAAAACAAAAAAAATAATAATAAATAAAAAATAACTGAGACTGAGACTGAGGAGCAACAAAAAAAAAGCAAAACATTTGATACGCTCTCTGTCTTGGCCCCTCCACCACACCAGCCCCCTCCACGGTTAGCCACCCCATGTGACACCGCCTGTCCGACTGTTGCTTCTAATAAATAATTTTAAATGCTGACTACAAAACGAAACCGAACGGCCAAGTGAAGTTTAAGTGTAACCCAATAGCCAAGTCGCGTTCTTAATTGCCTGCGTGGGATGTGGGGCTGTGGGACATGAAGCGGCTGCCACTGCCGCTGCTGCTGTGTTGCTGCACTGAAAATAATACAAGTGGACTCTTTTAATTTGTATTGGCTTAAAGCCTCGAGCAAGGCCCAACTAAACTAGAAACAAAATCAATTTATTTACCTCAGTGCTGTTGTCTGTTTTGTTGCCATTTCGATTCCTATGGCTATGGCTATGGCTGTGGTGCAGCTGTGCAAAGTGGTGCGGAGGCAACTGGGCCAAGTGCCCACTTTGGTGGGTCCAAAGTCTTGACACGCATTTGGGGGTAGTTTCTCCGTCTATAAGGCTGTCTTTCCGTCTGTCTGTCTGTCTGGCTGTTTCTCTGCCTGCCAGCCTCTATTTCCAATTTCCATTTCCCACTGGATGGATGGCTTATGACGTCAGCCTCTTTGTCGCCATATGTCTAGGCCCACACACACACACTCCCAAGCACACACACACTGAGAAAAAGCATGCGTCATCACAGCGTTGTCTCTCGATTGCAATTACACCAGGCAACCATCCCCACCATCGCCACCCTCGCCCCATCCCACCCAGCTGGAATTTAAAAAGGGAATCCAGAAGGGGTGCTGTTCTGCGTCACAGGCTTTTGTCAATGATTATTTCGCCATGACACGCAACTGGGGCCCACAGCCCACAAACACTAACCGATTTGTTTAGCCATTTACCTTTTATTGTTCTGTACGAGTACTACGATACTATACAATCAGAGAAACTAATTAATATTTGCCAAACAATGCAAAGCTAATAAAAATTCCTCTGATAAGATATTAAAAATAGACAGCTCTCCGCCATCCCCCTCCCTGGTATCTGGTCTATACTATATCTTTCGAAGCTGGTTGTGCCAGACTTAATGGCGTGTACTTCGGCGATTACTTCAAGGAGGGATATACGATACATGTGTTTGCATAAAGAGGGGGTTTTGGATAAAATAAGGGAAGTTACAAAAGAGTGATTGTACATGATTTAAGTAAATATTTCTCAATGGATATGACGATGTAGAACCTTATCTTCTCAACATTGGGGCATGATTCAGGGACTTTAAGGAAAGTGTTCTTAAAGAATCTAGCTTTAAAATTAGCTAACTCATGATTAGTGGGTATCAGCAGTAGATATTCTTGGCCACGTTCTTCCCAAATATAATCCAGAACTTAGAACGGAAGGAAAATCAAAGTTTTCGACTGCTTTCGAGCGAATGTTGCAAAATATGCGGCTTGGAAGCCACCCCATCGACTCTGCCTTATACAGAAATAAACTAGATTACTAATACGCCGTGTTGTGCCACATTGTGCTCGGGTTATTTACAGTCAGCAATTGCAACAATTTACTCAGTGCAGCCAGACAAAATGGCGGCAATGCCAATGCATATGTGTGCGCGGGGCACTACACTATATGTGTGTGTGTGTGTGTGTTTGCGAGCTGCAACCTCGCTGACAGCATTTGGTGCGTGCCATTTAACTTGACAAGCTCATTTGTTGCAGCAGCAAATATAGGAGAAAAAAAACAAAAAAAAAAAACAGCAACAACAGCGATAGCTGCGCATATGCCAAGCTAGCAAAAAATGAACATTTGTTTACAATATTTATTTATTTACTAACATTCATTCTTATTGCCCTGGCAGGCAGTCCGACAACGTCAGCCGCATTTTGGCAGCGAATTCGAGTCTCCGAGGAGAACAAACTATTTCAATTGTCGGTAAAATATATGCGGGCTCACACAAGCATAAAGCACACACTCCATAGCAGACAGTGTTCCCCGGGCGATCTGGTAATGGGAGTAGTAAAGCACCTTGATAACACAGCGCCTCGTGTGGCGCTTGGCTCGGCCACCCATAAATCCCATAAATCGCCTGCCGCCAGCCAAAGTCCGAACAGTTGTATGTATTTTTGTCGTTCGAATGAGTGTGGGGGGGAAGGGGGTTAAGATGAGCAATTTGTAGTCACAATTTCACACAAATTATGCGGAGAATCGGTGCCCCCAAGACCCCAACTCTAGTACAGCTTTTAGTTTTCCGTAACCACACTCATTTGTATGCAAATGTATTAATGTGCATTTATGCTTTTCCTATGCAAAAAACGAAGAAAACTTTTCAAAAAACAACATAAAAACAATAACATTAGCAGCCATAAAAAATGGAAGCAAATTTTGTGATAATCATATGTTAATTTCAAATCAACG